CCAGATGTGAGACTGAACACACATGAGCAAATGTTGAGAGTTGAGAAGCCCCGCAAGTGCCAACGGGTGTAGCTAGCGAGCCCATCCACGGGGAAAGCTTGCCAGCGGCCGGTCAGCTCACAGAGGCCTCTGATCCCATCCCACAGTCACACAGACCACTGCAGCCGATACAGCAGATGTGTCCAGCAACAGCTCTACAATAGTATTAATGTTCAGCCATTATTCTATCATTAAATTCTCAGTAATGTTATAAGTTTTAACTTAAATCAAGATATATCTGGCTCGTGATGTAGAGAACATTCTTGGCTTGTGAAACTTGCACTCTGGAACATAAGGGGACTGTCATTGCTTTATTTTTTCATCATGATAATAAATACATATTATGGCAGAAAATTGTGCCCTCTGACATTTGATCTTTTATGTATGTTCTTTTACTTGTTACTATTTTTATTACTAATTTTGTTATGGCTTAAATAGATAGATAGATAGATAGATATGTATTGTGTTTTTATTCTTAACCTTTCCTTCTTCTATACTCCTTATGTTAGTCTGTCCACATTTACTAGGGTTTAGGTCAGAGCTGTGAGAGTGTTTCGGTATTTTCCCCCTCTTGCTGTTCCTCTCCTCTCTTGGAATTTTTATTCAAGGTTGAAAGAGGATCTCTGTTCCCCAAAACACAGAAACCTAGACTGTGTAAATGGTTATGCATCCCCTTGCTCAGGGCCAGACTGCGTCTGCGTGGGCCGAGTGGCCAAAATTAACGTCATCATGTTTTATGCACGGTGGCTTCTGTAACGAACCGGCTGCAGCTGGACCCTTCTCCTTTTTTCAACATAGTGTTAGCTACATCGTTACCTTCAGGGCATGCAGTAACATGCACACACATACAGACACCGGCGTGGAGCATAATCGGTTTCCATTGAACTTTAACAACTAACAACTGCCATGTAGTAATGTTATAACTAAAGATCCACAGAAAACAACATGAAAAACAACTGCAAGCATCCAACAACGTTATTTAGTGGGCTTCAAATACACAGTTCACACGGTGTCTCTCGACTGTCCTTCAGTATCACAATATTAGTCCAACATTGCCACACAATATGCTAATGTCCGGTGCCAAGTTATCTAACCTACAAAAAAACCCCAGTAAGAACCACATACAACACTGCAGAACTTACAGCTTCCAAGTTTGAAGTCGGGTTACGTACAGCCAATGACGATCCATTCTTGAACCATTACAAAGCTCGTTATGCTTGTAGAATTTTTGAAGCACTAATTTATTAATTTAACACGCACTGAAGTGTAAAGAATGAACATTGCGGTTGTTGAGGTGCTCGCCATCCTCTGCGGTAGGCTTGGCCAATAGTAGGATATTTCAGTTTTGCGGTTATCGTAACAGCCCTAAAGCAGTGTAATATATTGTATTATGTTAGTTAAGTAGATTAAATATTTTAAATGCAGCCTGTTGTTCTCACTGTTATGTCGGCTACTTATGTGTGAAACCTGGTGAACATTATTGTGAGTGAAAAAGCATCTCCTCTAGCTCTGGGGCTTTCAGATCTTTTAGTTCTTTTCTTGGAGGGTAGGTTCCATTTAAATGTTGATTCAGAGAGCTCAAAGAGATAAGATATTGAATACATCAGAACTGATGCTACATTTTTATGTATTGTGTTTGTTGCTGCAATGTGTTCTCAGAATTATGTACAGAATATGCACAGTCACTGGGGTTCTTTATTTGTGGTTATAGACATGTTGCAACATTGTGAGGGATGGGTGTGCACACTAATATAGTTGTACTGTCACAGATAAAGTAGTGCACAGAAGCTGTTACCATGGTCACCAACCATAGAGGGCCGGGTGTTTACTCAAGTGCTTGTCTGGAAGGAAGTTTTTCCTTGCCTCTGTCGCCTAGACCTGCTCTTTTATGAAAAGCGCTGTGAGATAACTGTTGCTGTGATTTGGCGCTATATAAATAAAATAAAATTGAATTGAATTGAATTGCCTGTCTGATCACATGGGGAGCAAAGAGCAACCACACGGATCCAAGCGAGGTCTCGCATTGTGCTTCGCTATCCATGCTGTTTTTTGGCAGTGTGGACTCTGCATTGTTTGTACTTATGTAAAGTAAAACAAAATTGAAATGAGTCTCTCAGATTTTTTCTGTCTGGGACTTATTCCAGCACCTCCCAGATTTTCCTCCAAGTCCAATCTGAGTCTGTGCAGATTTTGAGGACTGATGATAGTAGCAAGGCTGTCCCTAGTCACCTATCCCCACCTATCCCCATCTCTCTCTGTTCAAAAAAATACTGGACTGGCAGGACAAAGCACAATACCACTACTTCTTCCAGCACCATAAAAGGCAAAGTTAACTTGTGTCCTTTAATATGTATTAATATAATGTGCAGTATTATGAACAACAGTAGAGAGTAGGTCCCATTCACATGTTGATTCAAAGAGCTCAAAGAGATAAGATATTGACTACATGTACAAAGCACAACTCTATCCTGTCACCCACCTTTAGTACTAAACACCTGCACCCTCTTTACAGACACTGTCTCACACTTCAGAGGACAATAGCTCAACACATCAAAAGCCTTAACCTGCACTACTGAAGGCTTTCAACTTTAAAATAAAATAATTGACACTAAAGTATTTATGTATTGTGTTTGTTGCTGCAATGTGTTCTCAGAATTATGTACAGAATATGCACAGTCACTGGGGTTCTTTATTTGTGGTTTTCTCCGGTATAAACATGTTACAACCAAGCAGCAACCACCATTAGTGGTATGGCCGCTTTGATTGACAGGTGGCTGCTGTCATGTCATTGCTAGCTGACTGACTGCCATCTGTTAGCTCAGCTATTACAGTCAGTCACAGAGCAGTGAGGCTCTGCCTGTTTGAGCCTTTTGGACGTTTCTCCATGCAGATACCGGATGAATAAAGACATGTTGTGCTATGTATTGGAGAGAGAGAGAACCTCCACAACCTCTCCAATTGGTGAGCACAGGCTTGTGGAGTTTAAACAGCCATTTTTAGATTTGGATAGGTAACATTAAAGTTACTGTAACAGAGTCACTGTGTCACTAGAATAAGTGGCTCCACTTGGAGTGAGGGACGGGGTTAAGGGTTGAGGGGGTAGTGGCGGTGGTTGCGGTTGTCATGTCGGTAAAGACAGGTAACTTAGCTGGTCTGTAACTGTCAAATTCCTCTTTTGTATACACATACCTGGCAATAAAGCTGAATCTGATTCTGATAAGTCTGGATGTGATATTTGGCACGCGCACACTGGAGAGAGGGAGACGCCTATGGTGTGGATTCTCCTGCTATTAAAAAAGATTGCTATATCATTGCTGCCGCTGGTAAAGTTGATATATCTGTACATATCTGTAACAGCAGAATCTCTCTTCAGTTCACTGGATGGTCTTTTTGAAAGGAAGACTCTCTCTTGGGACAATCTGGTGTCCATTCTCATGGACTCCTGTGCTGTTATGAGGGACTGAACTCCTTGACATTGATGGGGACTCACATCACTACCTTCATAATACCAGCAAGAAATTGTGAAGTCCTTTTGAGTGTTGGGTTGAGGCTTTGCTGTCAGACCTGCACACACAACACAAATGGTCAGCTGACATAAATGATGGTGTCGGAGATATTTGCAATATATTTGGCATCCATTTCTTGCGGCCAGAGCGCTATATTCCACACAGGTGGCTCTCAGTCGAGGATGTCAGCCTGGGATGTATTGGTCATGTTTTAGCAGTGACCTTAAGAGTACATACAAGGACATAGTAATTGTATCGTAGTTTTTTCAATATGGCACTATTTTCTCAAGAAACAATCAGTAGACACAAACATAGTAGTTTTGTTTGTTGTTGTTTTTAAAGGGGACTGTGGCCAAACTCCTCTAAACAGAACGAGAAAGAGACACCAAGCTTTATGTGGAAGTCTTGGCTCAGATCCTCCAGGTCTTTGGGAAAATCTTGGAGGTCCTGGGATGAGTCCTAGGGAGATAAAAAAGAGTGATTCAATTTCACTTTTACTTCACTTTACACAGTACAAACAATGCAGAGCGCTGCCTTTCCCTGATGGTCCATCAAATATAATTAAACCCAAGAAAGGCAGTAAGAGATTTGAAAAAGCTAGAGGAGATGCTTTTTTACTCTATATTGCTCACCAGGTTTCACACATAAGCAGGCCTACAGAACTAAGGCTGAATTTAGAATATTTAATCTAATTAACTGACATAATAAAATATATTACATTGGTTGATTTAATGTCTTAAAATTGCAAAGGAAAATAAAAAGTATTCAACTCTACAGATTTGTTTTGGAAGTATCGTTTCAACACAGAAAAGGTTACAGTAGATTGTGGAAGCTGAGAGGGTTTTAAACAGTGATCCTGTGGTAGCTGTGCTACTGGTTGATAAACACAAGTCAGAGCTTCTGTGCGCCTCAGCAGGGGATAGAGTGACCTCTGCTGGTTGAGCTTCCACATAGCAAGTATGAATAAATGCTGTGAAACTAAAATAAAAAAATAAATAATAATAACTAAAATATATAGCTGCTATCATAAAATACAATTAAAAATATTTTACTGTTTTTTTTTACTGGGATTACTGGTTCATTTTTAAAACCTTTGAACCTTGTGAAAAACTCTTTATACTGGGTGTTACCAACCGAAGCATCGAATCGAATCCAGCTTCTCAGTGCACATTGTCCAACACCAACTTTGGTTTATACTAAATATAATACTGTACTGTAATAAAGCCCAGAAGACAGTTATCAGTTATCAGTCATCTGATCTGTTGCAGTCTGTTTGAAATAAAAGTCATTGTTACCAAGAAAGAATAACCAAAACACAACGGTGTGCTGATTAGTGAGCTGGATCATGACAGAATATAAATATATCATATTCAAAAGAGATCAATTAATGATAGATGACTTCCAGCCAGTTGGATATTACACTGATTTAAAGTTTGATAAGACATTGATTAAAGCTCAGTTTAATTCACTGTAAAGTTTATTTCATGCACATTCTACAAATCATGTAGATTTACTTAGTGTCTTTCATCTGAAGCCATGCAAAGGACACGTTCTCCTATTCAGAGGCCCATAATTGTAACAAAGGAAAAAAACAAAAACATAAAAAGATTAGCTTTTGACAGAACAATTCTCAGGTTGTTAATTATGCATTTACGTTCTTTATAATGAATGCGATTACTTATTTTTATACATATATACCCCTAGCCTACATGTTAGCTGCTGACTAATTTCCTTGAATCTTAAACATAACTATAAAATCACGGATTGAAGGCTTTGTTCGAATTTCCCAATGTTTCACTAGAGTTGTATATTTTCCTCATACAGGTAGAACCCCAACAGGTGTAGATGTGGCTGTCCTAGATATAGTGGACCAGATGTTGTAGTGACAGGGGCAGATGTTAAATGGGAGGCAAATAAGTGAGGTAGAGCGACATGGGCAATTGGGATTGTTTGTGAAAAACTAAGAAACAGGACATTTTGTTTCAGGAAACACATCTATCCCCAGTTCTTGTTTGAGTTCTGCCAGAGTGTTAGTGGGCACATATTTGGTTTCAGGAGAATTGTCGGCCCAGTATGCCATTGTGATCAGTATCTTCACTTTGGGGCTGTAGCAGCAGAATGCTGACCAGAGCTTGGAGGGAATATTAACCCTGTTGTTGAGTTTGTTGTTGTTGTCGTTTGGTATTGCTCCAGTAACCACATAGGCTTCAGTAACACCATTGTTGTCTGTGCAGTAATCGTCCACAACATGTTTGGCGCGCTTCTCGATTCTTTTCCAGCTTTTCTGGTTAAATGATTTTGCTTGTGGAACGATGTTGGTCAGGGTAAAGGTGGAGTTTTTGTCAGATATCTGGGACCCGTGAGAGCTTCGAATCAACTGGCCCCTGTCAAACCTTTTGTTGTTTCTGTAATCTTTGTCCCCAGCCTGGTTGGTGTAAGTCTTGTCTTGGTCTACATCACACATGTTCTTGTCTTTTCCGTTTTCAAGCTGTAAGAGTTAAAGCATGATTTAGTGATGCAGGCAGAGTAGCAATAAAGAAAATTAGGTGTACAGTAAAAATATTCTTTAGTTAAAAAATGGCTTTAAGGTAAAGCTGCACAGAAAGGCTCAGCCTGAAATCTTTTCTTCCTCTGAGCCATAGAGCTCCAATATTAATGCAAAAACCATTAAAACCCATCACTTAGCCTCGCTGTTGAACTGTGCGATATGTTCCTTCATGAACACACACACTGTAGTTCATCCTGACTCAGCCCACATACACTGTCCCGCTGCCCCAAATCATGTTAATGAATCCACCGCTGAAAATAGTCCCTAAAAAATGCACTATTTCCTCCTGATTGAGTAACATTTGAATTCAGAAAGCATTTGATGTTGGTGTTTTCTGACAATATAATAATAATAGACATATTCTATAATATAGAATATCTGCTACCTTAACCCTTAATTTACAGTAATAATCATACAAAGTAATTCTATAGTTAAGCAGTTTAGCAGTGAGGTGTTGGTGACTTTACACTGGGCTCAACCAGGGTTGAAGACACATTTGATAGACTAGACTCCTCCATTCTTCTCTTATGTAAAAACTAGGGCTGGGCACGTTAACACGTTATTATTGCATTACCGCATTAATTAATTAACGGCAACAATTATTTTATTGCACGTTAACGCAGTTTAAAAAAAAACTCCGTTGCTCACTGGCTCTGAATACACATACAGTCAAACCATGGGTCACAGGAGGGGCATGGCAATGGCTTCTGTGCGCTACACAACTGTAGCCTATTTAACTTAAATTAATATTATGGGCTACATAACTTTAAAGTTCAAGACAATTCAACATCGACACCTTGTACTCAACCACTTCGCCTCACAGGGAACACTTATCACCTTTCCCTGATGAACACCTAACAGGAAAACTAGCTACTGAACATAGGCCCTGGAGTCTAGGCCCCAGACTGTTCATGCTGTGTTTTCAAACTACATGTCATTACTTTTGCGTATATTGCTGTACATTTAAATTAAAAGTGCACAGTACACTACTTTAGTATTCATTATTCTATTTTGCACGTAACAATGCAATTAATCACAAGAAAACCATGCAATTAATCCCGATTATAAATTTTTATCCTTGCCCAGCACCAGTAAAAAGGCAGTGAAAGTTTTTGTGAAACCCCTGCTAGTGCTACTACATCAACAAGGCTGTATCATTTTTATGAGCCAATAAGAAAAACACACCTGGGGCTCTATCTTCCAAGGGATATCAGAGGTTTCCTTGTGTTTTGCCCCTGTGTACTTTAAAGCAGAAAACACTGGAATCTTGTACTCTGTGTCATAGAGCGTCAGAAACTTTCTCTCATCTTTATAAGTCTGACATATGACTTTGTATCGGGTCTGATTCAGAATTTTCCCGCCTTCCAAGATGCCTGGGACCCGAGGTGGCTTTGCTTCAAAGAGAAACTGGTCACAGTCGGACACCGACTTCACCACTTCAGCCACTGTGGGAACAATGGGCAGGAAGGCAGCGAGGAGCAAGAGATACCACATCTTCATGGACATCATCGTCAAGCACTGTGTCTTTAGGTCAGAGGAGAGAAAAACAACCATCAAACATTACAGTTTGTTTTCTTCAGTTTGAACCAGTAACAAAGTTGCAATAAATGATCCATTGGACTGAAGACGTAGAGTTAAACACAGGGTCGCAACCAGGGTTTGGAAATTAGTGAGGTCCACATTTTTTGAAACCAGGTCTGTGTTTGTTTCCATTTTGTGGCCAATTTATGCAGAAATCCAGGTAATTCCAAAGCGTTCACATACTTTTTCCTGCGACTGTATGTCGGTGATTGTATGCATGTTGACCAGTAAACCCTACAGCTGGTCACATCGGCCATGAAGCCTATTGTCCTTTGTGTTGCTGCGCATGACCCCCTCCAATTCACTGGGTGAAGCTGTCACAAAAAAACAGGGTCCTGTAAATGCAGCCTCTGGTACTGCAGCTATGTACTATGTTGGACTCTGGAAACTGAGCAGGAAAACCCTGTATGTTTTTTTGGCTACTATGTAAGCTACATTTGTAGGAAGTAATGTTAATTAGCGGCCTGTCATTACTACCTACTTCCTCAATGTTGAGAACACCAGGTACAAGCATAGACTAAACTCTGTCCTGTAGACGTAAGTGTACATCCATATAGTTAAATTTTATTTTAATTTTCAATGCAACACACCTTGATTTATATGTGTATATATACCAATACAATGTCTATACAGTGTGCAAAATTAACTTTATTGTTTATTGTATTCATATGTTATATGAATCTTGATATAAAGTAGGGTGCAGGGGAAACCCTAAATAGTAATTTACAGCGGCTTATATGCTAAATTTTTTCCCAAGGAGCACATGACCTCAAACAAAGAGACATACAGAAGCACAGTGGCAAATGTTCAAGTAACACAAAGTTTATTAAAAAATTCTTCATACATAATTTGTTGAAACATAAGGACAAAAAAGATATTCACCCACTGTGGGAATGAAACACACATTCCTTATATTGAGAGTCCCATGATCTACTGATTTAGCTAACCAGGCACACTGATTACTGGTCTTAAATTATCCTAAAAACATTGGCCTAATGCCAAACTTACTTGCCAACCGCTGCACTACACTATCTTTTTGTTTTCTTGCAATTAATTATGTTATTATATCAGGAAAATAAAGTTTTGTTATTTCAAAATCTCGAGAAAATTATCCCATTATCTCGGGAAAACAACATTTGCTCTTTCGAAACGGTGACATGTGAAATGTGTAAATGTATGGCCTTTTGGGGCTTCCGTACAGATCAAATACCAATCAATAATATTTTACACTAACTAAATGTAATTAAATCATCTCAGCAACAGATCATATGTTTGTATTCTAACTGCTCAATCATTCATCATATTTCAGAACTGAGAGGGTTCAATTTTAGGGTTCAGCTGTTCAGCAACACAAATTTGATCTTTTATTATCAATTTATTACTGAAATTGTCCAACTATCCCAAAGAGGACCCATACCTTTAGATGAGAGGTTGTGGCCTTCAGAGAAGAGTCTTACAGGAACTTTTGATTGTAGAATGAACAATCTGTTTTTATTTAAACAACAATTCAAATATGATTTATCAAAATCCTCAACGCATAAATCTGCTAAGAATACTACGCTAACTGGTAACAAAAAACTTCCCTCTCTACTTCTCCAAAATGTCTATTAAGAGATAAATAAAGATTAAATAAAATGAGTCTAATCTATGCAGATCAGAACAGCAACAAGAGCAGTGCCCCAGAGTGAGAGAAACCTTTTCATGTCCCTCTCTTATACAAGTGGAGATCAGGAAGAACTCAAGAGATCTTCCAAATATGGTAAAACATGAAATACAATTCAGACATTGGTCAAAGCTCAATTCCTCTTTGTCAACCTTACAACACGTGACCAGATACAGTCAGGTGCATGAGACTTATTTAAAAAAGGTGTGAATGTTAATTCAATTCTGGTGACATTTACACAGGAAATTCAGAAGTGAGAGACCTCTTTCTTAGTCCAACAGGAAGCTCAGCCTCAACTGAAGATGAAGACTTCTTCATTAGCATGTCACAAGTATGGACAGACCATTTCAGCAGGATGTCTGTGGTTACAAGTGTTGCTTTTCTCTGCAGCAGCACAGCTGTCAGAAAGCAGAACCAACCGTTGTTAATGTTTTATTATTGTATTCAGTTTGGTATCAAAATCCCTTTGGGAGGGGATGCGAAGAAGTGAGGCTCATAACTCATTTAGCCGGACCCATGACAGTATTATCAAAGCTTTTTAAAATATTGAAACAGATTTTTATTCACTGAAAACCGATACTTCAGTACCAAGTCGATACCAAATATCTGAAAACATGACCTTACTCGTTTTTAAGGACCAAAGGTACAGAGGATCAAACAAGTGAAAGAGGGGACGAGTGCAGCTACAGCAACAGCTCCGCCTTGAGTCTTCAAAAAGAAAAGGAGTAATAATAAATTCACAGAAAAACAGTATGCAAACGGTGCCATGAACTTTTCAGACTAACAGAGGAAACACTTTCAGCTTAGCGAAGCACCTAAGACAGACATTCTGATCGAGTGAGTCAATTAACGTTATATTAACAATGTATCCAAAACATTATACTTCTTATATCCTTATCCTGAAATAAACATTAGGCTACTATTATTTTTGTTTGAGGCAGGTGGCATTGCTGTGTCGCTTAGCCACTTATGTTCCACACAATGTTTGCAGTGGCTAAACGCTAAAGGCTCAAACATAGCTCTTAGTAGTAGGCTACCAACCTTACCATTCAGTCTATGGCTGCGTTCTGATCCACAGTGTTCATAAGCAGCACTCCCTGCTCCCTGCTCCCTGCTCCCTGCTCCCTGCTCCCTGCTCCCTGCTCCCTGCTCCCTGCTCCCTGCTCCCTGCTCCCTGCTCCCTGCTCCCTGCTCCCTGCTCCCTGCTCAAGGAATGTCCATTAAGGGAACTTCCAAATCCTTCTTTTCGGAACACTCTGCAACATCATCAAAGCACACGTCAGTTTCACCGCGTGTTACCCTGGTAACGTAAACACCTTGGATACCTGCTGCTAATGTGGACATGTACTGAAATTAAATATTGAATACATATTAAAAAAAACTCATACAATAACAAAACTTAAATTTCCATTACTGCTTCTATTTATATTCTGTTAAAATGTATGTTACTCGTGAATAAATGTGATTGGATTAATTATAATAATCATATGAGCATTGTTGTATTTAGGTAACCTAACCTCTGAAATAAAAATTAGTTACAACGACAACAATGACAGAAATACAAACTCTGTGGTCTGCTCTATTGTTAGTTTTTGCCGCTCCTATGAGGCACAAAGGCTTATGGGTAATCTTTCTTGTCAACTTCCTGCAAAGTGATGAACCATTGTTCACTTCTTCCCTACACAGTTCACAGTGCCCTTTGACACGCTGCGCTTCCTGCAGTTTGGAATCGCACTTAAAATGGCTGAATACCCTGTGCAGTCCACTTAGTGGGGAACTACAGGGCGAACTATGTCATCAGTCATCAAAACTTCAATAAAAAATTACGTACGGTGTGTTAGGGCTTGCTGTATAGACCCAGGAGCAAACAAACAAACAGATAAAATGAAGAGAGAGACGTGAGCAGACAGGTGAGAGGGCTCCAAGAGCAATTCGTAGGGCTGGGAGGCAGTGGTTTCCAGAATACAGCTCTGAACAAACACGGTTGGCAGACACAAGACCATTTATCACAGGTTGAAAAAAATACTAGACAAAAGAAATCTACTTTCATTTAAGTGTAAGACTTGGACATAGCGTTGGTTAGCACTGAAGAACTGGCAAACTGGTGAGTTGATTGCTTGAAAGGCCAAAGGTGTGAGACGCAGCAGATGTTAATCAGCCAGCATTTGTCTCTAAAGGCTCGTGCAGACTACACGACTTGCCCCTATGTCTTGTCCTATGCCGGCGTGCTTATATACCCCCTCCGGTTACACCGTCATTACTACCATTCTAGTAAAACCAATAGGATTGG